AAAGTGCAATAGAATCCTATTATCAAAATTGAAATAAAAAATAAATTTGTTTTGACCAACATTCTAACAAAGGTTAGTCATATAATAAGTAATAATTGACCTATCACTGAAGTATCACTCTGTTGGTAATAATAATAATAATAATAAACATCATAATCATCATAAACATATTAATATTCATCGCAGCTTATATTAATTTTAAATGTCTGTACCAAGTTTCAAAAAAGTTTTTCTGCATCACCTTAACTTTTCCCCACCTCCTCTTCCTCCTCTCCTTCAACTGTATGTTTCTTTTTCTTGACCTTCCTTCAACACCTCCTCCCCCTCTTCTCCTCTTCTTCATCTCCTCTTCGTGACATTCTTGTCTCCTCTTCTGTATCGTCTGTTAAACTTTATTTATTGTTGTTACCATGTTCACATGTTCTCTCTGTTTGTCTTAAATTATAATAATTGTCCAGTTTGAAAAAAAATAATTTAAAAAGAAAAAGAAAGATTTTAATTTTAAAAAACTTCAACATTAAAGTGGGAATAAATATTGCTTTTATATGAAAAATAACCTTAGTATTTGGACAAGTTTAAAGTTCTGGATGTAACTGAACATGTCTGTCTGATGATTAATGTGATGATGAAGCACTTGATGAACTTCCTGTCTTTTTCTGACAGCACGTTTGGATGTGATTAAATATTTGACGTGAATTGTTTTCTCCCCAAATTATCTGTGAATTATTCACATTTTTAACAGAGTGTGACTAAAACTGCCACACGTTAACGACGATCAGAGAAAAAATTACGGCGACACCCGTCGTAAAAAAGTGGGGAAAAGGCGTCTCTTGCCAAATAAGTCTCCAGAGGGAGGGGCAGGCAGGGGTGGAGATGGGGGAGGAGGAGGAAAGGGGGGGAGTTAAATGGAAATGGAATAAAGGGGAAAAAATAAGAGAAGAAAAAAGCCACCGTAATAAAAAACACATTTAGAGAAAAGAGAAAAAAAAATCGATGATCAGCAAACACATACCAGCGGCCGCCCGTATGGATTATTATTATTATATACCAGAAACACAAACAAGAAGAAAAAAGTCAAGTCAGGGAAGAAGTTTTTACTTTTACAGCCCAAATTCTAGACTTTACAGATTTAAAATTAGAACTGAAATTAAAATATCCACCTGAAAAAACAACAACAATAGAATGTAAATACGGTCAGTTTATATATTATATATATTTATATGATATTTATTTAATATGTTTCTATATTAACAATACAGAGTGAAGAAGAACAGGTTCTCACCAAATTTAATCACATAAAATAATAATATATAAAGAATACTACTAATAACAACAACAGTATCAATATTATTAGTAGTAATAGTAATAATAATAATAATACATTGAATGTTGTTTCTACTATATTGTTATAATTAATAATACTATTTATTTTAACATTATTATTACCATTATCATCATCATTACTATTATTATTTTATTATTATAATTATTCATTTTTTTACCATTATTTATTTTGCTGGACTAATTAAAAAGGCAAATCTGGTCAAAACAAATTTTTATTTAAATTTAACACTTAAATACTTGAAAAAGACTTTAGAAAAGTTAACTCTGTTAAAGATAAATGTTTTTTTTAATTGATGAACTCATTACCTTAATGAAGAATAGAATAGAATAGAATAGAATAGAATAGAATAGAATAGTTGACTGTCCGGCTGAGGCTGAAGATCGTGAAGAATGCGAGGGTGTTTGCTGTTGTCGTTGACGTTGTCGTTGTTGTTGTCTTCTGAGATGGACGTTTTTACAGTTGGTAATTATTCAGAGAAAAGCTGTGCTGGGTTCTCCTCAGGTTTAATGGCTGTAGTTTCTGCTCGGAGGTGAAATGAGAGGATTTTAATGTGGCTGCTGATTTTCTCACTAATGTTTTCCTGCACGTTTGTCTGTAATGAAGCTGAGAGACAATGGTGTGTGTGTGTGTGTGTGTGTGTGTTGGCCCATATTCTTATTGGAAACACATGAGAAATCATTTCCAAACTGACTTTAATCTGATCAAATCTCCGCTCAGTGTCAGGTGTCTCCACATCAAGAGTCAAACTTTGTCAGAAAGACGTCAGAGAGGCATTACAGCGTGTCGTTTTCAGAGCTGTTTTTGTGTGTGTGTGTGTGTTATATCGGCTATTCTCAGCTAACTGTTAGCTGTCGCACCGCTAACTTCATTCCAATAAAGTAAAGTGTGTTTTTATCCTTCCTTTCCTTTACTCTTCTTTTTTTCAATCTTGTCTCCAAAGCGTTCCCCGTTGTTGTAAAGTGACTGAACTTTGACCCTGTTCCATCACCGACGTCGAGCGACACCTGTGTGGAGTCAGGAAAAAGAAAAACTATGTTTGCGTCAGTTTTATTTTTCAAACGTAAAGGTTTTCTCAGGTTATACCACAAGTCTGTCTGAGGTTTTGTGGTTTAGTTTCCATAGTAACCATAGAAACAGTTTCCAGGAGACAGAGGTGATGTCAGAGCAGAGAAGCATTGATGGAGGAGAAGGAGGCAGGAGGAGATGTGAGGAGGGGAGAAGAAAAAGAAAGACCAGGGAGTTTCAGTAAAATCACAGAGGAAAAAAGAAAATAAATCGGAAGAAAAGAGAAGAATTCAAAGAGTGAAGTCACAAAAAACTGAAAAAAACCCCACAAAAACCTGTCTCCTCTGCCTCACCCCTTCTCCCTCTTCCTTATTTCTCACTGTGCTGGTCGCCCTCTCACTCACCCTCAACCCTCACCCTCTTCTACTCAACCCGACCCACTCCTCACTACTTGTCCCCTCTTATCTCCACTTCTTCCTTACCCTCACCCTTCGTTACCACTTTCTTATTCTATTACGCCCCTCGTCCGCCCTCATCCCTCCTTACCTCCCCTCACCCCTCCTCACCCTCCCACTCCTCCTCACCTTCTAACCCTTCCTGAACCATCATCGCTCTTCCTCATTCCTCCTCAGCCTTCCTTCAACCACACCCATCCCTTCCTCTCCTCACCCACCTCCCTACTTTCCCACTCCTCACCCATCACCACTCCTCTTTGCTCCTCATCCCTCCTTCACACTGCCCTTCCTGCGTCCTCCTCCCGTGCCTTCACCTCCCCTCACCCTTCCTCTCCCCCCGTCCCCTCTCCCAGTCACGCTCCCTGCCTCTTCCTCTGTCATTTACTGCTCGGTTAGAAAAACCAGGCACCAACAACTGAACTTAATCCAAAGTTTTCCAGGCCTTAAATGAACAGGGAGGCACAGATTGTTCCGCTGTTTCCTCCTTTAATTAAAAAAGCAGCAGCATCTTATCGGGATGCAGAGAATTTATTTGTACAGAGAGAGAGAGAGAGAGAGAGAGAAAGTTGAGATAGAGCAGCTCACGTTTACACCACCTTCACCAGTGTGTGTCAGATAATCCCTCTGTGGTCTAATCCCAAATTAGGATCCTAATCTGCTGTGAACATTTGGGATCTGAGGGCAGACGGACTTGACTTCACCGTGGAGGAAAAGAACAAAAACACATGATGAACGTTAATGCATTCAGGATGATTTTATACAATTTTTCTTTCAGCTGCTTTTGGTTATTTTGAAGTGTGTTTTTATAAAGAATTATTAGAAAAAAAAATCACAGGAAGTTAGAATTATTCCTCAGCTGTAGCAGACAGCCTCGAGCAGTTGTCGGCTAACATTTAGCTACAACTGTCGATACACATTCAACCACTATTTACTTCCTTTTTTTTTCTTTACCTATTCCTGCATTTTTTGATACACATTTACTTTACAAACAATTCAAATGTCTGTGATGAAGGTAAAAAAATGATAAGAAAAAGAAATTTAAAAAAGAAAAAATAGGTGTTTTTTGTTTTTGTTTATTTATTCTTAAAAAAATTTTCTTATTTGTTTGGGTTCAACATTAGCAGTAATTCGTAGTGTAATCCTCAGTGTACGCACTGAGCCGTCGGCTGACCCCACATTGATCTACTAGTCTGGTCTGGTTCTAACGTCAGTCAGTGTGATCCACTGTCCGGGCCGTGACGACCTAGGTCTCTCCGTCCACACGCGTGGATCTTCATGTTGCGGTGTCTTTGGAAAGATCTTCTGTGCTTTCGAGGAAAAACAAACAAACGCAACAGTGACGGATGGTATGATCTGTGACTGACTGAAGAAGACACGGATGTTTAAGTGTGTGCGCGCTTGTGTGTTTGTGTGTCTTAATAGACATCATGAGAACAATCATCTAATGTCACCAGGGAAAGATATGGTCGACACTGACGCCAGACGTCAGACATACCCATTATACGCACGTGTACACACACACGCACGCACGCACGCACACACTAAAACAACAAAGAAAAGTGAGTTGAAAAATTAAATAATTAAAAACAAAAAAAAGGAAAAGAAACTGTTGGAGCTTTGAAATAAACGAATAAACACAATATAAGAGTTCGTAAAGACTTTGTGACCTCAACCCAAAAAATGGAAAAAAACTAAATATGTTTCAGTTATGTTTATGGTATGATTTTAAACAAATGTTGTAAACAAGAAAACTATTTTACAATTTGATTATTGAAGGGCAAAAACAGGAGCAAAAAAAAGAAAGCCAAAGAAATCATGTATATAGTCTTAAAATGATTAGAGCAGAAGTAAAATAATGATAAAACATATTAATGTTTTTGGGACAATAATAATAATAATAATAATAAAAATATGATTAATAATAATAATATTATTAATGATGATGATGATTAGTAGTAGTAGTAGTAGTAGTAGTAGTAGTAGTAGTAGTAGTAGTAGTAGTAGTATTGGTATTATTATTAATGCTATTATTATTGTAATTGATTGATAATAATAATTACAACAACAATAGTAATAATATTGTTCTTATTATCACCCTCATTATCATTGTAACTGTTACTGTTGTGGTCGTTGTTCTGGGCGTCACTTCTCTAACGAACCGTCTTTGTCCTTTCTTTTTGTTTCTCTGGACACAGTTTCCAATCCTGTGTTGTTGGACTGAGGCCGACTGGTCATTTGGACTGAGACACAAAACTATAAAACCTCAAGGACAGACAGGTAACACACACACAATTGCGCTCTCTCTCTCTCTCTCTCTCTCACACACACACACACACACACACCCGGTTGACAGGGTTTATTCTTTGCGCTGATTTCCTCCGTGGACGTAAATGAGTAGAAAACAGAGCGGGCGTTGTGTTGTGCAGTAACGGAGCCCGTCTCTGTCCTGAGTTTTACCAGGATCAAAGTGTTAATGATGTCACTGGATTGTGTCTCATCTATTTTTCACTGCCTCCTCGTTTTCCTGGCTTAATTGAAAGACCACGGCAGGGGACGAAGGCAGCAACGAGCTGATCAATACTGAGCCTGATGTGTGAATTGATCCACTCTAGGTGTGTGTGTGTTTGTTTGTGCGTGTGTGTGTGTGTGTGTGTTTCTTCGTGTGGTTCACACACACACACACGTCTCATAAGGCTACGATCAAAGTGTAATAATCACTGCATATGAAATGAACACATCCGTCAAGTGTTTTACACTTGGGAGGAAACACACACACACACACACACACACACACACACGTCCCTCATTCCTTATAAAAAGTTAAAGTTACAAAGCAGGGATGAACAAATCACTTCACAACATCTTGGTGATAGATGGTTAGATCAGGTGTTCCCAACAACTGGGTCCTGGACCAGAACTGGGCCAGGGATCATTTGGTACCTGGCTGCAGAAATAAAAAAAATTACTTATTAGATCTTTTATTTTGAAAAAACAACCAGATTCTCTCCCAGTCACATCAGTTGCTTTAATAGCGGGGTGTCAAACTCATTCTGGTTCACGGGCCACATGCAGCCTAATTAGCTGTCAAGTGGGCTGGACCAGTACAATCATCAGTAGTGTAATTATAATAATAATTTACTACAAATAAGTCCATGTTTTCCCCCTTTGTTTACATACAAACACATACAAGTATATTAGACATAAATTATTATTTATTCAAATTTAATGAAATAGAATTTTTCAAAAAATATCCTGAACATGAAGTGTATTTTTTTATTTTCAAAATTCATCAATCGGGCCGGACAGAACTACCAAGCGGGCCGATTTTGGCCCCCGGGCCACGTGTTTGACACCCCTGCTTTCATAGGACGAGAATCTCCACAGAGGAGACAAAAGAACAGCTTTTAGCTGGAGTGACTGACTGAAAAAGCATGTTTTGAGAATTCAGTAAATGGAGCGAATTTGCTGAAAATATTTTTGCAGAAATAAAAAAAATGTCTTTTTCTTCCTCGAACAATTGTGAACGTTACAGCTGTGATGTTTCTGCAGCGTTAAAGCCCTGATAAAAGCCTGATTCACAACAGAGTACTCCAGCGTGAACTCTGTTCCTCTTAGAGGGTGAAGTCAGCACAGAGACACTGGAGGTGTTTTCATCCGAGCAGAAAGGTCAGCACGAGAGGAATCTCTCTGATGTCGGTGTTCTGTCTCGCAGTGTTCACAGAAGAAAACATTTTCACACACACACAGAGAGAGATCACTGACTGTGCGGAGTAAAAACCCAGAGAGAGAGGAGCCTGACGGTCCATTTCAGACCTGATGGACTTGTTTCCACTTTTATTCCTTAAAGCTACAGTATCCTGACAAGGTCACAACCATTTTAAATTTGGACTTGAGCCAGTAGGTGGCAGTATCACTCACCAGATTCAGAGCTGCAGAAGAAGATCGCCTAGGGTTGTTAGCATGGTTAGTTAACCATCAACGGGGTGCTGGTACTGAAGTTAATAAATAACCTGCCGGTGGAGTGCCTAGTGGTCAGGGGGAAGAACTGCAGGCGTGATGATGACCAGCACAACATACCACAACAAATGAACAACAATTCAGACTTCACCTTTAATTTAAAAACGTTTTTACAGTCAGGTTTAAACGTCAGGCATAACAGGACATCTGCGTTCTTTTATTATTATTATTTTAGTTTAACTTTTTCATGACTGAAATGAATAAATAATAATGACATAATTAACGCACAAGAACTTTGTCTAATTAGAATTATTCTGGTCATTAATGATGTGTAATGAACAGTGTGTTATAATAAATAAATAATACAGAATCAGTCAAATCAAAACACAAACATTTATTTGTTTTCTGAGCAAATCAGTTGTATTTTCGTTTCCTCACGTAAAACCCTTTCAAAATAAAAGTTTATTAAAGTTATTGAACAGCTTATTGTTAGTGTATCTATGGTTCTTCAAGTTAAAATTTGTGATAAAATTTGTAAAATAGAAAACTTTATTTTTTTTATCAATTTTGTATTTTTTTCAACTATAAAAAACAATGGACACTTTTTTTTAACTTCACTGGACTCAGTTGTGATTGGCAGCAGAAAGTGACTCAGCGTTTTCTAAGCCCCGCCCCTCTGTTCATGTTTGCTGTCACTTAGATGAGCAGCAACGGACGCAGATAGTTTGACACCAAACTACTGATAGGTTCGTTTCTTGTGTGGTTTATGTTTGTGTTTGTTTGTTTGTGTGTGTGTGTGTGTGTGTGTGTGTGTGTGTGCCGTATTCATCGACAAAGACACACAATCACACTTTGATCAGTTTGTGTTGACTCAGAGGAATCTGATGGAACACACTCAGCGAGCACTTTACTGAAATTTTAATGGAACACAAGTGACCTCTGGGTGAACTGTGTATGTGTGTGTGTGTCTGTGTGTGTGTGTGTGTCTGTGTGTGTGTGTGTGTGCTCACTGAGTGCCCTCCATGGCCGAGTCATGTCTCTTAAACCTCCCCAGTCGACCCAAAGAAGACAGAACGCCTCACATCAATTATTGAACCACAGAAGAAGGAAAAAGAAAGAAAGAGAGAGAGAGAAAGAGAGAGAGAGAGAGAGAGGGAAGGAGTGAGAGAAGTAGATTAAAAGGAGTAAAATGATGGAGGGAGAGAGACGACAGACGGGTGGACGGGTGAAATTCCAAGTGTGATGGAGTTGAAAATGAAGGAGTGAGTCGTCAGCAAAGTGTTTAATTCATGGTTTAGAGAAGAGGGGGGAAAAAAGAGGATTAAATATTTATGTCTGTGTAAAATGTTTTCAGTTTGACCTCGTCACTCAACTATGTTCAGGTCAGAGAGGAAGGGAATCGAACCGAGCACAGGAAAAACAACAGGATTTCTTTTTTTTTATAATGAACTTATCACGGACTAAAAACGGAGGCTGAGGTTCGACCACAGTTGGCTCTCATTTTACGGTCAATAAACAAAAAACAAAAAACCAGATGAGTGAAATACGTTCAACAAAACTAAATATAACGGAAATATTTAAAGCAGAGTTGTAAATGCGAATTTTACTTAGATTATAGAATTATAGAATTATAAAAACTCAAAACACAAAGTAAAGTCTCTTGATTTTGTTTCGTTGTGTCTATTCAAGTGGTTCTCAAACTGTGGTACGCGTACCACCAGTGGTACGCAAGCGCTCTCTAGTGGTACGCGGGGAAAATTCATATTTTCACATTTACATTTCCAGTTAAATAAATCTGAATAACATACCATGCACAGTTAATACAACATTTGAACATCTTTATAAACATTTCTAAACATCTCTCCTTGGGTGGACGCTAACAGGAAAAACCTATGACGCGATATTCTACTGTTGGTCATCATGGTGGTACTCAAATGGTGGACTTCAAAGTTTCCTCAGGTGGTACAGAGTAGAAAAAGTTTGAGAACCACTGCTTTTTTTTATTCCATTTGAAGCATATTAATGTGTGTTAACTAAATATTTGCTGAACTCCGTTTCATCACAAGCGTTCGCAGTGTGAAAATGATCAAAGTCGCGTTGACTTTGTTGTGAAGTTTGTCTTTTTGATGGTTGTTTCTGTCTGCAGTCAGAAACATCCACCCCATTGTTCTCAGCATCTTCTGTGGGTTTTTTGGGGGGTTTTTTTTTTTGTTTGTTTTTTTTCTGTTGTTGTCGTAATATTTTCCACCAGATTCCTGCGGTAGCGGTTTAGGCTTATGAAACGCAGATTCTTAAAAAAACGATTCCATTCCACCGAAAATCTCTTCGCTGAGACGCAGCGTCTGTTCGATTCTGTAAATTCATGCGGAGTGATCCATCTGTTCGCACCACCTCTGCGTTCTCGTCTTCACCTCGCTCCCACTGAACAGATTGTCACAAACTCCTCTTTAGTGACGGTGTCAAAGTCACACACGTAACAATATGAGCCGGTCCGTAATTCGTTTATCGGTTCAGAAAGTCCAGATGCTGAAATCTACACACTGTGTAAACGGCTTTTTCACCATCTGTCCAGAGAAAATCCATCCGTCCTCCGTCTGTCGTCCACTTTCTGTGTGGAGAAAATGTCTTAAGCCAGTGAAAGGAAATCGACCTCAGCTTCCAACTTGAGCCGAGGAAAGTTTGGAGTAATTATTCCACGGAGTCTTTAATTCATAAACTGAGTTGTCACCAGACCAAAAATATCTAGGACCAAAAGTCAAGACTGAGACTTACAGAACCAGTCCCTTCAGTCCCCCACAGACCAGGACTAAGGACATGGACTAAGGACTCAGTAGAGACAGTAATAAAAATATCTCCAGGCTCTGCTGAAACTGCATCCAAAAATATTACTGCATAAAAATACAGAAGAAAATATTTGAATTTGAATTTTAAAAAATGACACACTTTTGCGATGTGGTTAGACTATTGTTGACGTGATGTGAGTTTTTACTTTGGTAAAGCCTTTAGTCTGAAAAAAAACCCTTCCTTCCTTCCTTTCTTTCTTCCTTTCTTCCTTCCCTCTTTCCTTCCTTCCATATATTCCTTCCTCTGTCCCTCTTTCCCGTGTGTGTCTTCTTTACTCCTTCAAGACTGATGTCTTAGTTAGATTCCTTCCTTACTTCTTTCCTTCCTTTAGTGTGTGTCTCCTTTACTCCTTCAATACTGATGTGTCTTAGTTAGATTCCTTCCTTCCTTCCTTCCTTCTTTCCTTCCTTCTTTCCTTCCTTCCTTCGTTCCTTCCTTCCTTCCTTCCTTCCTTCTTTCCTTCCTTCTTTCCTTCCTT